CGGCCATGATCTATAGTCAGTTTTATCCTATGATAGCGACGACAACGACGCCATTTGTGGTTACTCGGAATATGACGACTCCTCTAAAACATCATCTGAAGAAGAAAATGATTGCTGTTTCAAGATCACCAAGATGCCGCGATAAGAAGAAATACATGCACCACATTTACCAGTGACAATCTTCGACCCAGCAAAGAAGATCCAGTTCATGTCATCGCATTTATTGACACTAGAGCCCATATAACGATAATGAATCCCAAAATTCTCTCATCCTCTATGTGGCTACCATATCAACAAGAGTTTCAAGTTGCAAACTCCGGCTCGTTGACCATCAAGTTCAAGTCAAAACCGATAACCATCGAACTCTTCCCAGGTTGCCAGATTACTACTGACGTCCTTGGATCCACAGCGCCCGGGAAGGATCTGATTCTAGGATGGGATTCATACTCGCTATTGAAAACAAACTTCGATATTTCGATCGAACCACGAGGAATAAGATGGAAAGCTCTATACAAAGCCTTCACAACTATACCACGACTATTCACAATTGAAGGATTTGTGTCTGACGAGTTCAACAAAATCAAAGAAGAAATGACGATAGCATCATGTGCTGATTCGCATACGGATTTCCTTAAAAAAATGCAACAGTCCACTTTGGCTCAACACAGAGTTCTTTGATTCGTTGCCATTCAAAGAAGACGTTCACACCACTCCAACAAAGGCGAGTCATGCAGGAATGCCACCTACTCTGTTGCTCCAGGTGAATGAAGAGTGTGATCAAATAGTAAATCAAGGAATTGTTTCAACAACTAATTCCCCATGGGCATGCAAAACATTCTATGTCAACAACCTTGCCGAACAGGCAAGATGAAAGCTCAGACTGGTTATTGACTACATGCCCCTCAATTAATATCTACAGGATGTCGAATTTCCATGCCAAACAAAAGGGCACTTCTCCAACATCTTCAAGGAGTAACAATATTTTCGAATTTCGACCTCAAATCTGGGTTCTGGTAGCTTGGTGTTCATCCCGAAGAAAGGTACAAAACTGCATTCTGTCTACCAAATCATCACCTTCAATGGAACGTTTTACCTTTCGGCCTCAAGACGGTGCCATCCCTATTCCATCAAGCAATGCTCTGAATATTCAAACATATCCTCCATAAGTCTTTAATATACATCGACGACATCCTTCTCTTCTCGGTCGATGAAAAGGAACATATTCAGCTACTTCAACAGTTTGAAGACATCATAAGAGAATATGGAATTATGCTCTCAGCCAGAAAGATGGTCATAGCTCAGCCCAACATTGACTTCCTTGGCATGCAGATTACAAACGGTAATTTTACACCACAAGCCCATCTTACTACAGTACTTCTGGATTTTCCTGATGAAAAACTGACAAGGCGACAAGTTCAGCAATTCCTTGGCGTAATCAATTACGTTAGCGACTTTATCCCACAATTTTCGCAGCTGACGAGACCGCTACAGAAAATGCTGACAAAGAATCCACCCCAATGGACAAAACGACAAACTGAGGCTGTCAAAAGTCTAAAGCTAGAGGTACAGAAGCTACCACCTTTAAAGATTCCTTCAACAGGAACACGCATTTACAGACTGACGGAGTGACAAATATTGGGGAGCCATTTTATTTGAAGAAATAAATAGAAAACGTCAAATCTGTGGATACAAGAGTGGACGCTTCAAAGATTCGGAGTTCCATTATCAGTCCATGTTCAAAGACATCCTAGGAGTCAAAAGGGCTATCGAGAAGTTCGAGTTCCATCTGATTGGACACAAATTTCGCATCGAAATGGATATGTCATCTTTTTCGAAGATGCTACAATTCAAGCAAAAGATGGTCCCACATCAGCAGTTGTTACGATGGAGCGAATGGTTCTCAAAGTATGATTTCGAGTCCTTCTATTTAAAGGGCACGAAAAATACTCTTGCTGACATGCTCAGTAGAAACCAAGTAAAGGAAATACAAATGATGGTAAACTCTTCTACAAGCTCTTCTACAAAACGTTACTACGACTTCGCCTCCAATATGCCAGAAGACGCTCATCAGCTTATCGACAGGAGAGCTTTACACGAGCATCTTAACGATAAGATTTTCTACTACCAATCCGTCATCCTTTCAAGATACGGAATCAACAGTCATCAAATCTCACCGTTAGGCATTCACCCTGACTATCCATTCGCGCATCTCTACAGGATCGAAAACGCCAACATGCCTGAAGAAGTCCTCTGTTTTCTATGGTACTCTTTTCGGTTGACACCATAGGAATCGCTTTTGATATAAAATGGCTATATGAATATATCAACGCTCAACAAGGTCACCAGGAATGTTTTTCAACATTCTTAACATGGTTTGCACCCCTACCCGTCTGGAGCGGAAAGTTGCGAAGATCAGCAAAAGCAATAAGCCTACCATTCAAGAAGTTAATAGGTCAAGGAGGTCTTAATCCCTTCTTCAACCCTCACACGATCTACTTTTTCCATCGTCTCGTCCAAGTCACCACTAAGTCAGGAAAAATCCACGCGCTCCCGACTTTCATTCATCACAACGACTATCCTCGCGGTGTTCGTCCTGATTTCAATATCAACGACAACAAGGCATACAAGGATTTACAGACTCACGTGTTTCGCCTCAACAATGCTAGGCAAACTTTTTCGGTATCCTTCATCCCAAATTGGAGTTACTATCCGGTTGATTATCAGATGAGCCTAAACGAAGACTTACAGTTCTTCATGGAAAATATGGAAAAAACGCCAACCATCCCCGAGTTACCAAAAATAACTAAGCAAGGATCATCGTCTCAAGAATACCAGCCAGAACACTTTCAATATGCTCAACTTCCCGATGATTCGATGAGTATTGACGAAATTGGTCAGATGTTTGGCATCAGTGTCAACGACGATTCACAGAAGCCTTACGAAGAACCAGAAATGGAATACAAATGCCCGAACGATCATTATGGCTGCTGCGACAAACACATCATCAAGTTCGAAATAAACCACTAAGTAAGCTATTTTAAGTGTGTTTTAAGTGAGTTTTAAGTGAGTTTTAAGTGTGTTTTTAAATGCGTTTACAATGTAAAATAAATAATTATGTAAGCATGATGTAAGCAATGATGTATGTTGCTGCTTATGTAAGCATGAGGTAAGCAAGGATGTCATTGCTGAGGTAAGCGCTTATGTCAGCGCACTCATCCTCACCTATAAATATGTGTGTACCCCCATTGTAAAATATCAAGTTTGGAAAATATTAAAAACCTCTCTCTAAGTTCTCTCTCTAAAATATCTTTCTAAGTCCTTTAGTTTTCCAGACCTTCAAACTTCTTTCATAAGTTTTGATTTCTATCTTCCATCTCGGAAGTCGAGATTCTGCTCCGTTGCTTTAGGTAAGCACGAGTGGATGTCAGTATGACTTTCGTGGGGAACGTATTATCCTAAGAGTGGTTGAGCTATTGAATGGCCAGAGTAGTGCCGATGTTTGCTCATAATACCTGGATAATATCATCACCCTCGTATGCCAATATGACTTAGTCAATACAGCGTCCTCTCTGTGGTTGTCTAGTGATAATGGTATCAAAGCCAAATGCTTTTATGGTGGTTGATGGAAATTAGTGTTTATGACTGAATGTTTTAAGTGTTTTGGAAAACATCCCTCTCAAACATGTCTGTTTCAAATCCTACATCCATCGACTCTCCATTTTCAGTTTCTACATTACCTAAAACTAAAAGTCA